ATATGAGGCAAATTAAAATACAAACACACGGCTAAACATGAATACTACTGAAAGCAACAAAACACGGCTCGCGGCCACCCGAGGCCACGCGATAGGCGTTGGCGACGGCTTGGGCCATTTCATTGCCAATACTTCGTTTTGCCTCAACAAATCTGATCATACTGAACTTATATTAGACTAAACTGAACATATAAACGATCATGGTTCAAGAGTTGCTGAGAGAAATCAAAGATTGTTCGGTCATAATCTTAGTTAAACATGCCCGCCTATATGCACGGATTAATCTAAAATTCCGACAATTAACCGAACACTTAACCTTGAGGTAACCTAATTAACATGAACATGAGTTGAAAAAGGGGTTACCTTCTCTGTTGGAACGATCGAAGTCGGAAAATAGGCGTGGTTATTAGCTCTCGCGGTTGCCGTGCGTATAGCTTCCTTTGCCGTGCGATATAGGTAGAAAATTAGGGACGATTGATCGAACTAAGTAACTGTTGAAGGCTAATTTATGCTGCTGAATATATATAAGAAAGGATGGTGAAAAATTTTCAAACTCTCCTCAATATATAGACGGCCGATGGGGTGATGATGGTGAGGTGTTTGTGGCGTGGCCACCCCTCCTTCTCACACTTGGTTCCACCTTATAAATTAGTTGATGACTAAGCTACCTTTCTTCATGACAAGTTGCTTGCTTTGATTGGTTGCAAATTATTTCCTTAAGCATAAGGAAAGCTTCGGCTTAATCGAAAAATTAGGGAAAATATATCTTAGGTACGACAATATGCTATAACTTAGAGGAAATTGTTGTCCCAACTCACGGCTTTTAGGGCTAAAACATGATTAATTTACATTAATCACTTAGCTTATGTTTAATTATTCAATTAAACATAGTACTTAATTACCAAAATTATTTCGAACGTAAACGGTACGTCGAAAATAGATTTCGGTAATCTCGACTGAACTTAATTAATTCCGAAAATAATAAACAATAACGTTACTATATCGGAATTAAACGTAATTTATACCGATTAAATATCGGGATATTACATGTTTCATATAGGAATTCATAACACACGAGCAATTTAATAGGTTTTAATAATTAATACACTAATTAACATTAAATTGAATTTATTGAAACCAGAAATTCTATGGTGCCCATATATGTATCATAACCATGCCACAATATGATGTGGTATATGAGATGGTCTCTTTTTGTTTTGAGTAATGCTACAGAGCCCACTTGAGTTATAACTCAAGTGTAAATGCATCAGTTTTTAGTTTTTTGATAATACATTTACACTTGAGTTGTAACCCAAGTTGTCATCCAAGTAGGCTTTACTCTTTTTTTTTTCATTAACAATTCCATGGCATATATGATAGATGTGACATTTTTAGAGATTTAATTAATTAAAAGGTCAAGGCGCAAAGCTGGCTCGGGCCGAAGGAACTTATGCTTAAATAATTAAGGAGCCAGCCTCACAATGTAATCGATCCAATCGATCCTGTCACTTTAGATAGAGTCACAATGTATTGTACGATGATTCGTCAAACAATTCATTATATGATTGTTCACGGCCGACAGTCTACATCTCCAACAACGACTTCTTCGGCTTTCCATCCAGTTCACGGCCGTTGATTTCTTGTCCGAGCAGTAATTCCCTGGTCAATCGTCCAACCAACCACAAATATGAAGCACAGATAAGCGAGATGGCATACACAATACTATCGGCTAATTAATCACTCAACTTGAAGATAATTTCGATTCAAATTTTTACCAGATATGCCAATATCAAACCACAAATAAGATTAGCTAGCCGACATACACAATACTATCGGCTAATTAATCACTCAATTTGAGGAAATACTTGAATTGAATTTTTAGTTTACCAGAGATGCCGATAACATCCACGTCAAGGAATTCATTGGTGAGGAAATCAATCACGAACTAGGCCCAACCTATGCAGCGAAATTCCTCATTTCCCCAACTGTTCGAACACTCAAACTTGACAGAGTTTTCTACTGCTTTTGCCCGAAACCATTCATAACTTTGCGCAGTGGAGTTTTTATCCTAATGCGCATTGGAGTTTTTGACAATGTCTCATGAAGGGTTTTTGTTTTAATTCGGCAACGAGGTATCATAATGAAGGATTTACATCCATGTAACATCCATGTCGGGGAATTCATTGGTGAGGAAATCAATCACGGACTAGGCCGGCCCAACCTATGCAGCGAAATTCCTCCTTTCCCCAACTGTTCGAACTCTCGAACTTGACAGAGTTTTCTACTGTTTCTGCTCGAAACCATTCATAA